TCAATTTCCGTTCGGAGATATGTGGGAGTGTGTTCAGCCGGTTAGGAATGTGAGGAGACTTGTGAGAAGATCTGCAGCCGCACTTTTCAGACCCGGAAGGGGATGTTCCGCGTCAATGCTAGCTTTGTGGTTTATATTCAGGAAAGAGTCCACATTGCTTGTCGTTGGATTTGGCTTCGCAGCAGATTTTCCATTAAGATGTTGATTATCATCCACAGCATTGCTCATAGAGGACGGTAAAAGGTCCTGGCACGCGGATCGGACTATTGATGCCAAGGGCGTTACACCAGGTTTTATGATGGATGGACCAATAATAGGAAGCAGAGTATTTAACACTTTGTAAACGGCAATGCGTATGTGAATATTGCTATATTCGGCTTCAAATATCCAAAGGGTTTGCTCAAGACAACTTTGGGCAATCGAGATGCTTCCTAGGCCCAATCTTTCGACGATAGTGCGCAAAAGATCTAGAACTGCAATGTGAAGCCGGGGTAACTCAGCCCAAAGGCTCTCCCTTTCCTCCCGGCCAACTTCGGGATTTAAATCTGTCACACATTGTGAGGCGTCCTCTGATGAGGGGGATGTCACTGAGACTAAACGACTGGATAAATCAAGTATGGATCCTAATGGAATTGCCACTGTGGAGCTAGTTTGCATTGAAACGAATTCAGTAAGCAACTTCAAAAGGTTTTCTAACTTCTCAGTACCAGCGTATATACCTTGCCAGGTTGGAGACCCAAGCGCGTCGGGGTGACCATCTCCAACCGGGTGATCGTAATTTTTTGGTCTAGATGGGCGGCGGAAGGTGGTATCAACAGACTCCCACTGTTCCACAACACCTCGGAACAAGTGATCACTTGTCTGATGTACGGACGATATTGTAGACCTACAAGCCTTAAGCCATTCTTCTCCGCCAGTATTCTTTGGTGCACATTGATGTAGGGTGATGAAGAGCCGTTGGGCCAGGCGTATGCCCGACCTTGATAATGAACCAGAAACGCCAAACGGCGCAATGAGGGGCAATATCAGGCCATGGATTTGCGACGAAAATGGACGAAAAATGGTAGGATGATGGGGGAGCAACTCGAGAAATACACGCAGAACGGTGTCAAGCAATGGATTAATTCTTTTCAGTTGTCTCGCTTGCCCATCTATTGGTTTCACAGAAACCAAATTCAAACAAGATGTAATAAAAGTGGGCAGCGACGGTGTGGTTATTTCTCGCACCAAGGTTTGGTATGGATAAGTCAATCGGAATATGCGCGTCAAAGTAATGAGGGAGAGCTTTTTAGTTGACAGAGGATCGGATCTCTGTGCCTGAGTTGTTAGCATATCTCAATGAGTAGGATCAGGGGAGGAGAAACCAAATAAAAAGAATGAAACGCACCCCTAGAATACCTAGAAGGCCCCGAACCCAAGCTTCGCAGCCACGGAGAATCTCCCATTGTCCCGCTTCTATCATTGCCTTAACAAGTATAACTCCAGTCCACCGCCCTTCAACGCTCTGATCTCCTAAGAGATTTGTGATGCGGGTTTTCAATTTTTGCACCAGCAATGCATTGTCTGACTCCCTTGAAGCTTTTTTCTGACTTTGAGGCACCGATAATATACTTCCACAATCAGCGACAGCTGTCGCAACGTAGGTCGCAATCGAGGGAAGCTCCTTCACTGGCGTTGTCAGTAAGCGGTGAGTCGCTGCTCGGATGCAAATCGGAGCTGCCATGGTGGGCGGCACCGGCGCTGAAACTAGAAGCTGAATCGCCTCAGATGTTTGAGGCGGCAGCTAACGAGGTATTTCGTATCAATTCATATTGGGCGTGTACGGGGCTGGCTGCCAGTCCACAAATTCAAGTGACCAAGAACTTTTTTTGCCGAGATTTGGACCAAGGTCTGTTGCCGCCGCGTTGCGTCAGCGCTTAACCCGCCAAGCAACGGCTAACCACCCTGCGGCAAAGGCTTTACGCGCAAGAGTCTGTAGCAACCTCAGGTGTTGTGTTCTGGCTGTACCTTTGTCCTGGGATCTCGGCAAAACTGCGTTTGATTGGATCTACTGACCATGTTGTTGATGTGGTGACTGTCCCATCCGCTTACCTTGACACAACCATGACCGTACGTCACCTTTGCCTTCAATTGAGGAGTATTAATCCACACCCTATAACCGGAAGTATGTGTAATGGGACTTACAGGGTGGGCCATGTAGGGTCGAACTCCCGAGAAGGGGCAGAGCTATATTGAGGCTTCGGTAACGGCCAGATGCAACGACAGTTGGAATGACGTCCCAGATTTCGTTCGAAAAATCGAGAAGCATTGCCCGGAGCGAAGATGTACGATTCGTGTATTACCCTGAATCCCTACGACAAGATCACTGACACCCAAGTTCTCTATTAGGCCTAATAGAGGTTGCGCGTACCGAGTACCATGTCGTAAGCTACTTGAACAAGCGACCTAACACTGCCTCCACCGGCTCAGGATCTACAGAGACAAAGCTCCATGATCTGATACCAGGATTGCTCTCTGTGATGGAAGAGGAAGGGAGCCTGCCACAAGATGTTTTCCAAGCTCAAGTGTGTTTGGGCTGGTTGCACTGGACGCTATCTGAGCCTGCATTGGCATCCTCTCGCCTGCCCAAAGATTTTGATGTGACACTGCGGAGGCTGTTCGGTGATGAACAGGTCCTATCGCCCTGGACAGAGGTCTGCATTATAAAAGGGGGATATATGAAGGGTATGTAACCCTTATATTCTAGTACTACATTACGATACTCAAATAGCATACTGTTTTCATAGGCGCAGCACAGGCATTGGTTTCAGGGCCTGAAGATGCGATACGCACTTTCAAATTGGTATTCCCTTGGATCTCTGCTCCGTCTTCGACCTCCCCGTCAAATCCGCAATTTCTATTCTGGTCTGAACAGCTATTAGCCAGAGCCGCACTCCTTGCAAGCGAAGCCGCATCGGAAGGGCCTCTGGCAAATGAACAAACGGCTGAGTTTGCCCTGAAGGCGTTTCGGCTTTGGGCGGCCCACCGTAACGTACAACAAGGTGATCCAGCGTGGGATGTTGTAAGCACTGCTCCAGCCAGCCCAGGGTCAAGAGCTTCGATATGGAAAGCCTATTACACCTACTTATCATCGACTTTGTACCAAGTAGCTTATACTTCTCCGTCAGAAAGCCAGAGGCGTGTTCAACTAACAACGGAAATCCGTCGTGTGGAGGCTATTTGTGAAAATATTGTGATTAAAAACACCACATTTCCAAAGGCAGAGGTCAAAAACACGGAAGTTGAAGCGTGGGTAGAACAGTTCATTCAAAATTGGGAGGTCCTTTGTGGGTCAGGGTGGCGGGACGGCGATTTTGGGGAAGGCGGTCAGGATGCTTTTTCTCGCAACGTTCTCGATGTGGGTTTTTGTCCCAAGAGTGTCACTTTCATTATTCTAACTCCCTTCTACTTAGATGCTGTATCGAGCAGCTACCGTGACATTTCATTCTACCCTCATTCTTCGCCGCCTTTTCCATGTTCACGCAGCCTTAGCTGAGTTTAACCTCGCGATCAAAGCACTGGAAACATACATTGATCTCACCACTAGCGCAAAAGCGCGGGCAAAAAAATCTCCGGAGGCTGCTGGTGAGCTGGAGGATAATGAGACATTTGCCCTCACTCTTTCTGAGGGAATAACCATGCTATCCTGCTTCGGCTCCTACAAGGAAGCGGAAAAAGCAAAGGAATTAACCGATATGCTGCAGAAATTATTGGACGAGCTGGTTTGTAACAAGTCGACCACCAACTCAACCAAGCCACCAGTTTCAGAAGAGCGAACGGCAATTTTTTCCCATGGCGAAACTTTGTCTCCCACGACATTTTCAATCGCATATCGCGCAATCGGAATTGGCCTGGCGAATTGGGCAAGATGGACTCCGATAAATGAAGCGCGAACTGACATCCAAACCGATGGTATAGCTGCTCTTGAAAGATCACTAACTTTCGGGTCACCAGAGGAAACAGATGTGGCATCGACGTTCGCACTTGCGCTCCTCCTTGCAGAAACTAGGGATATTAATGGCGCAATTGATTGTGTCCGGGCAGCTTTATTGTCAGCGCAATCCGTGGACTCAGGCGCACAAGGACAATCACACTGGGTCAGCATCAAGGAGCGAGATCTCGTGCCTCTATGGCACTTGCTCGCTCTCCTACTAAGCGCAAAACAGGATTTCGAGGCTGCGAATAAAACCTGTATCGCCGCTTTTAACAGCGTTCCAAGCGTCAATTTTCTCCATGGACCAGTTGAAAAGCTTTCCCAACATAAGAAGCAAGACTCTGGAGAGAAAGCTGCCCATTGGCTTTCAGCCGCCGCCATCGAAGAGAGTAGAGGCACACCCAACGAAATGGAAGCTCGTGAAAAGGAGAGCATCGTTGAATTACGAATTACCCAGCTCAAGCTTCTGGAAATACTGCACGGACCAGAATATGCACTAAACCAGTCTGAGGAACTCCTCAGTCTTTACGGGCGTTTGTTTACGGATCTCGAGTTTGATAGGAAAAATGATCCAAAGCGATCGGATAATCTCATCCCTCCTAAGAGTTCAGCGGGAACAACTCGAAGCTTCCGCGGCAGTATTTTTGGTCGAAGGAAGAGTGTTAAATATGTGGAGAAAGCCAGTTCTTTTAGAATTGAACCCAATATGACACCTAGAGTACCATCAACTTCGTCCGGAGGTGTTTCTATTGATCCAGACGCACCGACGATTCAAGTTACGGATGAGGATCGGCCGGCGTCAAGCGAGCATCCGCATCCAGTCGGTACCGGTGGCTCTACTCAGCATAGAATTCATCGGCGGGACGGTAGTATGAAATCTATACGACCACACAGCTTAGATAGAACAGCTCGCTCAACTCGCCCAAATACAATAAAAAAAAACAAACGCCAAAATGCTGGGGAAAACTTACCGATATGCGGTGATGTATTGCCTCAAGCAGATCGCTCCGAGGATCCTCCATCCCCAAGTCATGCATTGACACGCAATGGAAGCCATAAAACGCCCAACGAAGAGTCCATTTCCTCCTGTTGCCCGAAAAGTAGCCTACTCCGATGGGGCCAACTTTCACGAAGCGTTCGCTTCGACTCCCCCACACGCGCACTCACTCGGTTTCCAAAAGTTCAAACGCAAATTCACGCCCATGGCTTGCTGATAAAAATATGGTTGTTCATCGCAGGGCTTTATCGACATGCAGCGCTTTTTGAAGACGCGCTGGAAGCCTGCAACGAGGCGTCAGAACAAGCCAGGTGCGTAGAATCACTCATTGCAGGACAAGAGTCTTCAGCTAGAGCATTCGCCGATTCCGGTTGGGGAGGAACAAAGAGTTCCGATGAGCTTTGGGGGGACGTGTATGCTGAAAGAGGACGCCTCGCTCTAGCAACAGCGCGGCCCTATGATGCGATCGATCATTTTGAAGACGCCCTTATGTACTATCCGGATCACATTTCAGCTACAGTTGGCCTGGCTAACCTCCTTCTTGATATTTATGACCAAACATTACCTCTCGAGAAATCCGAACCTGACCTAGACACCAACACGCCTGGTGTGTCTCTGTTATCATATTCGTCAAAGTTTGAAGCGAGCCCCAAACCGCACGATGGCGAAACTACCCAGGGCAGCGGTGGCCCCTCCCCATCACAAGAAAGCACACCCGAAGCTCTAGATCGGCTTGCCGCACGCGATAGGGCTTATGGCCTTTTATCCGCGTTGACAAAACTCGGAAGTGCGTGGGATAATTCTGAAGCGTGGTTTGCTTTGTCAAGAGCTTATGAGCAAAGCGGCCAAATAAATAAGGCTAAAAAGGTCCTTTGGTGGTGTGTGGAGCTTGAGGATAGACGACCTATCCGGCATTGGTGGAACGTTGGGTCTGGGGGATATGTTCTATAAGCTACTGTGGTAAATGTATACCAGCATGAGCTTAGTCAAAAATTGGAAATTCATGTCACCAAACCAATTTTGTCCTTCAACCAATTGTTCTTATTCTTATTCCTTACATATCTTGTTCTCTTCCTTGTGTACAAGAATACCCCCACCACATACTCTAAACGACATATATCTCATGAAACCGCTTATTTGGCCTGTGGTGATAGTTCGGCGGCGATTAATTTCTTCTTTTCGTGCTCAAAAAGCACGGTACCGATGTCGCCCTTATATTGTCCATATCCTCTTATAGAAAAATATCGTTGTGCTTCTCTCAAAAACTCTATTCAATGTGAATAAACTATCACATTTTATTCTATAGGCATAGAGAAGGGGATATATGTACAGTGCAATAGTCGCCGCCAACCACCGCCCTTCAAATCCAGGACCGTGCGAAAGAAGCCACCAATGGAAGAGCCTTTTCCATTTAAACCGATCACACATTTATCTGGGTACTGCAACGGGCTTCCAAGCAGAATATTTCGGCCTCACGCTGCATAGTAGGGTTATTGTAAGTATAACTGTTCTGAAGGTTACTCCCATATCGACGGGGAAGAAAGGGGCGGACTCACGTGGAATATGGTTTGTACGCGCCACGAGTTAGGGTCATAGTTGGTCGGTGCTCCGGCAGTTCCCATGATCGCACGCCGGCTTGCAAGATTGCATCTTGAGTTGGAGGCTTGTCGACCATATAGGCTAACCATGCGTGCCTAGAAAGTAAGAGAGCCAAAACGTAAGAACTCCATTATAGTGCCGGGAGCTTCCTAATCAATAGGAAGTTCAAGAGTATGATTGAGGACAAATTAGCATACCAGCCAACATCAATTTGGGATGCGTCGAATTCTTTCTGTGTATAGTCGACCCAGCGCGTTCGAACTAGAATGGGAGGAAATTTAGTTTCTGCGCCCAAATGATGTTGCAAATGTACTAACGCGGTAGCTCTTCCATATTCTCATAATATTTGTTTCCGTATCGGTCTGTAGCTATCAACGTCCCAGCTTTGGTATCGCCTATTCCATTGTGTTAGCCATATTCTCGTCAGGCACAAATTCGGGCTGGGGCACTGACCAATATACTATTATCCAGTGCCAAAATATAGGTGAGCATGTCATTAAGTCAAACAATCGGATGATCGAGAGGCAGAAAAGAACTTGAATTGAACCGTACCTGCATTTGGTGGCCATATTCCTGTTGAAAGTGCATGAGGTTAGTATCAGCAATTGCACGCAGGAAAATGGAGGACGAACTTTGAAGCCAATCCGCCACAAGTTGCGGGCGGTACGGAGTATTGTCGACATCTTGAGGGTTACAAAGGGTATATGCCGTTGACAATGTTCTAGTCAAATTGTCGGAGTTGCTTTATGTTGGCGAGACTCGATGTCATTTCGCCAAAAGAGGCTTAGCGCCTAAATAAGTCTCCAGGCAAGTTATACGTTGAAATATTTGAAGATAGTAAGTACTAGTAGCTACTCAAGACTTCATATTCCTGACCAATTGAGGGATCATGAATTCAATTGGAATTTCTTTCGCTTCCTCTTTACGATGATCAAACATATTGGGCTTCAAACACTTCGTTCCTCCTGCCGCAGAACTTCCATCACACCTTGGCGTTCTGTCCGCAAGTTCGCTTCTCATCCATACCAGACACAATCCACGTCCTCTCCAGCGTCGCCCCTTGGTGTGATAACTGCTGAGCTAGACAATATTGCTCCTAGGTTTGAAATACAGCCATCCCAGATTAGCATCTTAGACTCTCCCGCTAACTTCTACGACACTCTGAAAGTAAGTACGCTATACTGCCTGCGCTCAGCCAGTTCATAATGGCATTTTCTAAAGCTACTACTTCCTTCCACAGGATAAAATTCGAAATGCCAAAAAAAGAATATATCTTTCAACTCTATATATTGGCAAGACGGAATTCGAGCTCATCGAAACCATAAATGAAAGCCTGCGTCGAAACTCCAAGCTCCAGGTCTCGATTCTGACGGATGCTCTACGGGGTACTCGGGAAAGCCCAAAGCAATCTTGTGCGTCCCTTTTAGCGTCCCTAGTCGCAGAACATGGTCCGGATCGCGTGGAGATACGGATGTTTCACACCCCTAACCTTACCGGGCTAAAAAAAAAATACGTGCCGAGGAGAATAAATGAAGGATGGGGCCTACAGCATATGAAGCTATACGGAATCGATGATGAAATCATATTATCCGGGTGTGAGACCACTTTTCTGATTTATGTACAAGTGTGGCTTTTTCCTAACACATCTCTGCCAGAGCAAACCTCTCAAACGACTACTTCACCAACCGATTAGACAGATATCATGTCTTTAACTCAAAACCACTAGCGGACTATTACTCCCGAATCCATCATTCAGTATGTAGCCTCAGCTTCCTAGTCCTCCCAGACTCGGAGGATAAAACGGGATATGCTCTCTCCTGGCCAGCGTCTAATGGTACTCCATCACCGCTTGATGACCCGGAAAACTTCATTTCATATGCATCCACCATTTTGGTACCCTTAATAAAACCATCGAAATATAGCCCTCTACCACCGCCGGCGTCATCTAAGCCCACCTTTGTCTATCCGGTGGCGCAGTTCAGTCCACTATTAAAACCTGATGAATCCACCGAATATCCTGCGGTGACAACAATCCTCAGCCTCCTTTCCAGCTCACCTTCCTTAGCAAACTCCAGCTGGCTTTTTACAGCAGGTTACTTCAACATTCACCCTGTCCTATCGTCCCTCTTGATATCCAGCACATCTTCAGGAGCAACGGTCATATCTTCAACTCAAGGCACTGTCGTAACCGCTTCTCCCTGGGCGAATGGATTTTACGGCTCTGCTGGTGTATCAGGAATGCTGCCAGCAGCATACACCCATCTGTCGGCAAGATTTCTGGATCGTGTTGCAGAAGCTCAAAAAACTAACTCAATTCAACTGAAGGAATGGCGACGCGGCACCGTCGGACAACCAGGAGGATGGACCTATCATGCCAAAGGTCTCTGGATAACTCTTCCCGAAAAAAAACACCCGAACATCACCTTTGTAGGGAGTAGCAACTATACAAAGAGAAGTTACAGTCTTGATTTAGAGGTCGGAGCGGTCGTAGTGACGTCCGACGAATCTCTGACACGGAGATTGTCAGAGGAGACAGAGTGGTTACAGAAGGACGCCACTGCCTTGTCCAGGGACGATCTGAGAAAGGTTGAGAGGAGGGTTGGATGGAATGTACGATTAGCTATGTGGATTGTGGAAAAGGTTGGAGGGGCATTGTAGATTAATATAGACAAGATGGACTTCATCTCGCGAGCATTGTACAACTGTACAGTACGAAATCCTTTGAAGGCGTTATTATGTTATTATAGACATTGAAGGACCGAATATAAAATATGGTTTGGTTTATCAAAGTCAATAATTGTTCGCCCGAACTTTTTCTATTCCTCGGGAAGCCTGCTTGACCCATTTTATCTATGCCAATTTGCTGAACATTATTTATAAAATATCCTCAACGGCCGAATATACGCACCGATTAGTAGACAAAACGCCTTAAATATGATCCGAACATGCAATCATTAGCTCGAGTCAAGAAATGACAACCAAAATCATAAGGGTATTCCCCTATACTTTCCCAGGTAATCTCGCCGGTCCCAGACCCTGTCGAATCTCGTCGAGCATCCGAATTCCGACGACCTCATTTCCATTCTTTCCCCTCTTCCCCTTCGGCCCTTTCCTTTTAGCATGCACGCCACGATCATCCCACCCATCCAAGAACCCATCCATAATCTGATTGAAGTCTGACCGAAGCGGTGTCCCACCGCTAACCAGACTTGGTATTTCAGAGACCGTTGACATCCCACTGACCACAGACATGTCATCGGCCATGCTAGAGCCATCGTAGTCCTCGCCTTGTTCATCGACCGCATAGAGCGCTTCGATTCTCTCGAACCTATCGTCGAGAAGACGGTGGCCCTCAGTTCGCGCGAGAGATGATGAGGTCATCGAGTACGCAGAGGGGTTGGTGAGAGCCCCCTTGCGTTTTTTTCTGCGGATGGGGGTCCCGCCAGCGGTGAACATTGTAGATGCCACGGTTCCAGCATGTAACACGGAGACGGTTTCTCTCTGTGTAGAGGTTGCGGAGGGCTTGGATTTCATATCTTTCTTGTACTGGGCGAAATTTCGAAGCCAGTCTCCCTCTCCGGCAGCTGTGTCTGGGATGTGCTCATCGTCTACAGGTCCTTTCGCGGGTGGTGTAGCAGCTTTGGTGCTTACACTTGGTTGTTTTGATGCCTTTTCCGTTGCGTCTGATTCCCAGCCTTCGTCGTCATCTTCAATATGGGTATCCCTCCATTCACTTGCATCTACTTCAGCATCTATCCCACCTTGCACCAGAGACTCAAAAAAGTCACCATCTTCGTCACCATCAACAAATGCATCGTCCTCAAGGGCTTCCAGGGTTTCTCTTAGTCGAGGATCCATATCTGGTTGAAATCCAGCAATCGCATCTGGGACATCTTGTTGGTCTTGATATGTTTGTTTCCGAGAATATGTTGAAGCCGTGGAAAGCGCATCGTGATGGCGAACCGACGCAAGATCCTCTACATCATCAAGCGAAGTTTCCTTCAATGCCTCCTCAAGCCTCATGCCTTTGATCTTCCCTTTCCCCTTCACCGGCGTCGCTTCAACAAAATGTGACTGTCCACTCCCATCACCGCCCAAGTCCCGCAAATGCTGCATATTATCGTATTGGGAATCATCGTAATATATCCCATAGTTCGCCGCTTCACTTCATCTTGCGTATCTGGGCGCCTGCAAATTCCTTCTCGAGTTCCGACAGTACCTTGGAAGCTCTGAAGGTTTCAAAGATGATTCCGTTGTTGGAGTACCGGATATCTTGTGAAGGATTCTATCGTCCGCGTCTGGGTCGTGTATTAAAGGGTCATTTTGCGACCTGTGGAAAAGCTGATAGGTGGTGGCAGACTTTTTATCACTAGAGACGGATAAGAAAAGGAACTCCGTGTTAGCTAGCCCTGCCAAACACCATGAGCTGGATGGGAACAAGTCTGTGATCTTACATCCATTGCCTCCGTGGAGGCATTTTGTCATCACAAGCCACTAAAAGCAATGAAGGCGGGATTCGAGGTTTCGTTGAAATGTCGTAAGTATCCCCTTTCTCTTTGGCGCGAGGTATTAATCTTTTTTACTCTTGGGCGCTCGGGTGGGGATAGAATAAAAATCCCTTATCTTTTATAATACAATCACGTGATATCAACCAACCACCTGGCTGACAGTTAAATATAAGTTAAATATCACTTCAACTAATTTACCCCTTCCTCATTGTCGGCGTTGTCCAAATAATTCGTCGTCAAATTGGCGTTGAGTTGATTCAATTCTGCTAATATTCACAGTTCGAATATCGCTATCAACGTTTCCAGCCGGGAACTACAAAGGAATCTACGAAAAAACATTGATTCATTCCTCTTTTAATCCGCGAGGTTATTTCGTCTTCTGGCCATCTTCCAGCAAACGAAAATATCGAAAAAAAAATTGCTTCGACAGCTGTGATTTGCGAACTCAGAGCATCCTATCTTGATACATCCTCTTCATTCCACTATAAGCTGTCCAATGCGATGAGGACCCTCTACCAAACGCAACTTGGACAAACGGCTACCATTATGCTTAACTTCTCTCGTGTTCGGGATTTCCCTCATTCAAAAAGCTCTTGGTTGCTATTTCGAATCATATCGTTATCTTGAGGCTTTCGCAATGTTTTCGGGATGAACCCGAGGTTAGGAAGCTTTTGCCTCTGCCCTCCTGTCATTCTGCGGGTAATTTGGTCGGTCAACAATAAATCTCAAGTTCTTACTTGCGATTTTTAGCTTCCGAGATTCAGTTTAAATCTGCGCATGTATAACTTAGCACGATATATCATTATTGCTAAAAAGCAAACTCGTGCTCATTTCTATGCCTCAGAATACGGGATTTGCCTCAAACCATGCAATTGGTATGGATCCATCCGTCCGTTGGTTTGGAGTGATCAAACACTTGAATGTACGTACCCCTATAAATATCTCCATGAATCCCACTCTCCCCTACCTGTCTATGCAAAAACTTCACCGTTCCCATAACAATCATCCAGCTGATGATAGCATACTTTAAACCCTACCTTACTAGGCACCACGTAGAACCGCGATTTTCTCAAAGATCAAAGCCCTTCTGCCCAAGTGAAAGCAAAATATTTCCATTACTTGATCTCACCAACAGGTTCTGAAATAGGATTGCCGAGCCCCCAAGATAATTAGATAATTTTGCGAATATATTTGAGCAGACAAACATACTATTTTATTATACGCCTGCCGGTGCATATATCAGAACACTTTGAAAACTTCTCTTCTCAGGTATTCGCTTCCATTTTGGGGGGGCACACCACTCCCGACTATGTCTTTACAAGATGGGAAGCTTGGAATGAAGGAAGCCTCTGAGTTGAGTTCAGCCGAAATCGTGACGAGCCAAAAAGCCACAAGACGTCACCCAATGAGCAATACCCCTACCCAAAAAGATGATGTACAGCTGAAGGGCAGTGGAAACAATACGGATGGTACCGCCCCGCCAATTTCGGATAATGGAAGTGACGCAGCTACGACTCACGCCAGAGTCCTCAGTCATCCGCGGAAAAAAGGGCCTCCTCCAGCCCCAGAAACACCGAACACAACCCCTAAATACCCAGATGGGATCCAGTTTGACGGCCGAGGAGCGAGGGCCTTCAATGCGATGTTGAGCGGTAGGACAGGAACCACAATCCACTCATATGGCTGGAGTCGCCCACTGAGGAGGAACAGTTCCAGCAGCAAAAATGACGCTACCCAGACGAAACCCGCGCGGTAAGAAGTACCAATCGACCTAGCAGTAGTAATGCCACGGTGGGACAATTACCCAGGAATGAATAACCTGAAATTCTATTGGGAATAGCAGCTTTTTGAGATCAAGATTGGACAAAGTTGGAATGAAGTTGGGCCAGAATGGTATAACACTTGTTTATCCTCAGATTTTTATTGAAGCTAATAGTTTGGAATCTCTAATTATTACAAACCGTTATCCTTGTCTACATTGTCCGTTGCACGCGTTTATTGCAACTTGAAATTTCAAAGCAGTCTAGCAAAGCTCTGTGAGGTGGATGAATATCAGAAGCAATCATTGTTTTCATATGCCATGAAGTTAACTTGGGATGGGATAATAGTCTAGATGTATGTACATGTACATGTCAACGAGCATAATTCAGAATCAATATCAATGGAATCGAGCCAGGCTCAAAGACCAAGCATAAATGCAAATATCTCATTGCCACCACCATTTTAGGTCTAGCGTTCATCCGTTTATATAGCAGAGCAAAAATATTTGAATTAATTAGGGGACATGTGCATATTTGAAGAAAGGTAAAAGACGATGAAATGGTAAACTTCCCCTCCACTACGTATACCCAGCCATCTAATAGAAATCTTCTTCCCCTCCCTTAGCTCTTAGCTTCTTCCTTTGTTCGATCGCTTTTCTCTTCCCACCCTTGAAATGCTTCTTTCCAACCCTCTGAACCTCTGAATCACCAATCCCATTTGCTAATGCTGCCATCATTCTTTGGTTCTGAAGAGCACCTTGTTCAGTGTATTGATAACTGAAGGGCATCTTAACGTGCTCTGCGCCTCCCGAGCCGACGGCTGAGAAAAATCCGTTGTCGAGGTTCCGCGCGCGGGCACCCTGAGGATGAGAAACTGCAGAGGATGAGATCGGCAAAATCTCACAATTTATATCGGTATCGTTGTCATGGTGACCAGACGATTCATCAAGATCGGAGAGGGGCGATACTGTCCCTTGACTAAGGAAAGCCTCTCGTCTTTTTGGCGGTAGATGGGAAATATCATATAATTCTCGATTGAACTCTGCTGGGTCAATGGGGTGCTTTCCGGCTTCAATGGCGCATTCAGAGGTAGGTGGAGGGTGACAGAACAGGAGCTTCCCGCTAACATAGTCTTTTTAATATGTATCTTGCAGCGCGGGATTCATCGGGCTGGCCGAGACCAGTGGTGGAAAAACCTCGGGCGCGCGCAAACGCACGAAGAACCTCAGAAGCGGTGGGAATTTCCGGTTCCTCCCTTCTTCGAGAGGTCGCATATTGATTTTCCACCCATATACAGCTTCCAAAAGGGTTTTGGAATACGCTGGGCCACAACTGCCGGTTTGGACCCAGGAATTCACGCAGCTGGGTCGATTGGAAGAACCGCCATTGATGACAAGCTTC